GGGGGGGGGGGGGGTGCAGGAGGAGCAGGACCAGGGGCTTGGTATGGAGGCAGGAGGAAGTGAGCCAGGGCAGAGGAAGCAGATATGGAAAAATAAACACTAGGGAGGGAGCAAGAAAATGAGAAAGGGGCCCATCCTGCTCCAGGGAGTGGAGGGGGAGACAGATAAAAGCCAGGTGTCATCAGCTGGGCATCCAGGAGCAGGAGGGGGCTTTAAAGGCAAGATGTGAGGCCCCCTCAGCTGGGCAAGGACCTCCAAGCCCTGAACCACAGCCCTCTGCGAATGGCTGGCGCTTCCCGGGCCAGCGGCCGTCTGGGAGCTCCTAGCATTTCCTCCTGTGCAGGGCCCCACCCTCTCCTGACCACTGGCTGCCTGCTGGGCTGCCAGCTGCAGTCAGAACCTCCTCCCTGGGAGCCCCTTTCTGGTACCCCATTCCAAGGGCCCTGGACCTGGACTTGGGGGCAGCTGACAGAAGCAGAGAGGGCGGGAGACTGATGTTTCCACTCACACACACACAGGGCAGCCAAGCCCACGGGGACACTGTGGGCACCCAGAATCGGAAACGCCGCTGGTGACACACAGGCACATACCCTGCTGGGAACACACTGTTGGCCACGGAGAGAAAGCTAAAGTTGCTGGGCCCGCAGGAATAGCCGCAAGTCCAGAGCTGTTGGTGTGTGCAGGCACTTCCAGCAACACCCCTCCCCAGGTTCTGGCTTCCCGGCTCCCCCTGTTCCTCATCTAAACTGCAAAAGCACAGGGAGTCTTAATGGCCGTTGCCCCAAGCTAGAGCAAAGTGAAGAATAGTGAGAGGCCCTTACTCCTTCTAAGTCCCAATCCTAAAGGGTAACATTATATTGATCAGTTGATTTGTTATAAACATATTTTGGGCTAGTCTTTGATTTCATTTTATTTCACACAATTAGAGGTGATAGATTAATGACTGCCACAAATTGTCATTTTTCTAAGCCGTGTTTGATTCTATTGTTGTTGCTGATTTTATCACTTGGGCTAGTGTTGTGACTGATCTAATCTGTTATCTTTCCTGGTATAATGAAAATGAGATTACCCCAGAGTTATTAGAATCTCAGATCCTAAAAACCAGGTATATCTGGAAGACACCCCAAGAAGCAATCATTCCTTAAGGTTTCTAAACAGTTGCAACAAAGATACTTAAAATAAGTAATATCTAAGTATCAACCCAGGAATTAAACCAAGGACTATACCAAGAACAATAATGGAAATGAAGACATTTAAACAAGTCACAGTCTTCGCTCTTACCAAAGACAAATTCTGGGGAAAACAAGATGGAAAAGTCTGATTCAACCACCTGGACAATCTCAACTGATAGCACAGAAAGTTAAAAACAAAAACAAAAACAGGTGAATGAGGCTCTAGAAATATTCAAAACAGAAATAATTTCCCAGATAAAAGACGTGATGATAAACTCTAGAACAGAAACAGATAAAAAGATGAGTTCAGGTCCATGATGGAAGAAGCCATGAATGCTCAGCCTAGGAAAGAAATGGAATCCATGAAACAGATTCAAACTGATACCCCGGAGACTGAAAACTCAATTAAAAGTATAAATAGCAGAGTAACTCAATCTGAAGACAGAATATCTGCTATGAAAGACAGGATGGCAGTCAGTGACCTTGAAAAGAGAAATATCTTGAAAATGGCTGGGGATTAGCTCAGTGGTTTTGGCGCCTGCCTCACAAGCACAAGGGCCTGGGTTCGATCCCTGGTGCAAAACAAAAAGCCACAAGAAATTAATCCAACAACTCTTAGATGATGCAAAGAAGAGTAAGTTTAATAGGAGTCCACGCAAAAGCACAAGAAAGCACAAATGACATAAAAAAAACTCTTCACAGAATTAGTGATAGAAAACTTCCCAATCAGAGCAAAAGAACTTGACATAAAGATA